TAAGTAGTTGAGTGCACGTTAGCTGCGAAGTGCTGTCAGCCTCCATTCAGATGCGGCCCGGGCGAAACCAGTAATTTGGCGTTAGCCGGAAGGACGAAAGTTTCCGGAAGGGAGGAGGAGAGAAAAAGAGAACGGGGGAGAGGAAGGTGTATTGGCGGGCGGTCTCGCCCCCGTCCGCCTCCTTAATCGATTATTCTCTCGCGGCAACCGCGATAAACAATGTCGGGAAAACTTCGAGTGGGTATTATCCCCCGTGCCCCCATCAAGTAGATAGGTAACCGCCGCGGCAGAATTTTCGAGCGTTGTAGAAAACAGAAGAGGTCGGGAAAGGAGTGGCCGAAAGGAGGATACTTTATTTATTTTTTTTTTTTTTTTTTTTTTTTATTCCTCTCCCGTTGCGGCGATCCGATTAAAAATAAATTCCGCGAATGCCTCGGCCACGCCGGGTATAAACGGCGACTACGGACGGAGATAAGGAGATTCTTAAGAACTGTTTTGTCTATATTCCATTGCATTTAACGGTAACTTCCTGGTCCCCCAAGACGCGGCATAGTAATGTTCGCTTTGTCCTACCTCTGCGAAGCGCGCCAGTTGCCGCGCGGAGTTACTGTAACATTTCTATAGTTATGTCCGTAATTATACTTTTCCATATCTTCCTCGGCTCTCTCTCTCTCTCTCTCTCTCTCTCTGTCTTTGCCGCGCCAGTTCGCATCTCTAATTTACTGTATATACAATAGCTTCTTGTACGACCAAGTTTTTGCTCTTTTCCTTTTCCACTTTTCGCGTTTTCATTTTTTTTATTCTTCTCGCTTGAAATATGTAAATAAATTACTTGTTTACACGCTAGAAGCAATGCTCCCCGACATACATTTACAGAACTTGAGAAAAAACTTGAGCGAATCGTTCCACTACGTGTTACGAGATCGAGATTCTCGAGAATCTTCTTCTCTTCATCGCTCTCTGATGAGAGACGCGAGTTACATACGATATATCAGAATTAATCTCCACATCATCTCGAAAGAGAGAACCGACAAACCGCGGGTTTCTCGTGACTGTCTCTCCTCTCGGCGTGACAGCGCGACGGCGGCGGGCGAGGCTCGTTATCGATTTTGCGAGTGCCGCCGAGAGTGACTTAGCCCATTCGTTGCATACGAGAGACGTGGTGGCGGCGGCGGCGGCGGCGGCGGCGGCGGCAGCAGCA